TTTCCTTTCATCGCAGGTATCAGTGGATTCTTCCTCCGTGGGACCTTCTCTCTGCCTGAGAATCAATCTGGTAAGCATCTTCTCTCTCTCTCTCAACTCTTTCCTTTGCCAGTCACTGTGGTTACCTTCACCCTGTCAGCCAGTCTTATCAGCAATCTGTTCTAGTGCTGGGTTTGCTGCTCCAGGCTTTCCCCACTGACTGTCCGCATGCTGTGCCCCAGGGGGGCAAAGAAAAGCCCTCTGCTGTGGACTTTAATAGCCACTGGCTTTTAATCAGGCAACATTCATTCTGGTGTGATCCCTCTCCCCAGCTGTGTCTACTAAGTAATTATCCTTTCCCTGTCCCTGACTTGACTCTCCCCATCACTCACAACTTTGTAGCACCAAAGGAACTGGGCTGTTCCTTGCCCTGTTACAAAGACCACTGATCAAAATGCTATAGTTTTAATATTGGTGAGCTGTGTAATTTAAATCATGTAATTTTTAGAAAAAGGGAGAGAGAAACTTTAAAATTCGAGTGCCACTTTTCTTCTTTTTATATTGGTAATTATAGTTTCATAGTGGTTAGGGTCGGAAGGGACCTAAATAGATCATCAGGTCTGACCCCCTGTTCCGGGCAGGAACGAGTGCGGGGTCATAACACCCCAGCCAAATATCTGTCCAGCCTCCTCTTGAAGACCCCCAAAGTAGGAGAGAGCATCAACTCCCTTGGGAGTCCATTCCAGAGCCTGTCAGTCCTAACTGTAAAGTAATGTCTTCTGATGTCTAGCCTGAACCTTCTGTCTAACAATTTGTGGCCGTTATTCCTAGTAACCCCCTGTGGTGCACAGGGGAATAGAGCCTCACCCAGTTCCCTCTGGTTCTGCCTTAGTGAGTTTGTAAACGGCCACCAGATCCCCTCTTAGCCTTCTCTTGTGGAGACTGAATAGATTCAGGCCCTTCAGCCTCTTTTTGTAGGGCCTGACCCGCTGCCCCTTGACCATGCGAACCCTCCTCTGAACCCTCTCAATACTAGCCACATCCCTCTTGAAGTGCGGCACCCAGAACTGGGCACAATACTCCAACTGTGGCCTGACCAACGCCACGTAGAGGGGAAGGATCACCTCCCTAGACCTGCTTGTGATGCATCTGTAGACCTTACTGACTGCTTCCTTGCATTGGTGGCTCATGTTCATCCTGGAGTCAACAATGTCTCCAAGATCCCTTTCTGCCACTGTTTTGACAAGAAGGGTGTTCCCCATTCTATAGGTGTGTTGCTGCTTCCTTCTCCCTAGATACAGCACCCTGCACTTGTCTGCATTGAATTCCATCCTATTCTCATCTGCCCACTTCTGTAACCTGTCTAGATCTAGCTGGATTCTGTCCCTCCCCTCCAGCGTGCCCACTTCACCCCACATCTTCATGTTGTCAGCTAATTTGGACAGTGTGCTTTTCACACCCACATCCAGATTGCTGATAAAGATGTTGAACATTACAGGCCCCAGGAGAGAGCCCTGGGGGAGTCCACTGCCCCCACCCCTCCAGGTCGAAAACTACCCGTCCACCACCACTCCCTGGGTGTGACCATCCAGCCAATTTTCCACCCATCTGGCTGTGTAGGCATCAATGCCGCAGTCACCTAGTTTTTTTGAGAGAATGTGGTGGGAAACAGTGTCAAAGGCCTTCTTAAAGTCCAGGAAGACAACATCCACCTTGACGCCCTCGTCCTTAGACTTGTGACCTGATCATATAAGGAAACCAGGTTAGGCAGGATCTGCCCTCAATGAACCCATGTTGGTTGCCCCTGAGCATTACCTCCCCTGCTGGGTCCTTGCAGATGTGCTCCTTGATAATTTTTTCAAATGTCTTCCCAAGGACTGAGGTAAGACTAACTGGCCTATACTTACCCGGGTCCTCCTTTCTCCCCTGCTTGTAATTGGGGACCACATTGGCCCTTTTCCAATCCTCTGTTACCTGGCTAGAGCCCCGTGAGTGTTCATAAAACCATGCCAGGGGCCCCGCTATGACGCCCGCCAATTCCCTCAGCACCCTCGGGTGAAGAGCATCTTGACCTACTGGTTTAAACACATCCAGCCCGTCCAACAATTCCCTAACTAGGTCATCCCTGACCCTAAGCATGGCAGTGCCTCCTCTGGGTCCCGGGCCCGGTCCCTACTTGGGAATATGGAAGCAAAGAATTCATTAAAGAGGTCAGCTTTTTCGTTAGCTGCAATCACCAGATTGCCATGCTTGTCCTGTAGGGGCCCCACGTTCCCCATTGCCGCCGTCTTACTCCCTATGAATTTGATAAAGGACTTTTTGTTATCCCTAATTCTGGTTGCTAACCCTAGCTCCAGCTCTGCCTTGGCTTTCCTAACTGCAACAGGGACTTCTTACTTCCTATGTGTTTGAAAAAGGACTTTTTATTATCCTTAATTCTGGCCACTAGCCCTAGCTCCATCTCTGCCTTGGCCTTCCTAACAGCCTCCCTGCAGTCCCGAGTAACGGAGGTGTAATCCTCCTTGGTGATAGCCCCTTTCTTCCACTGTTTGTACACATCCTTTTTTGCCCTCAGGCATCCCTGGATGCCTTTGCTGAGCCATGGGGGCTCCTTAGCACTCCTGCCCCCTTTGGTGTGCATTGGGCCTGACTCCCTTTGAGCTTGGAGGATTGACTCCTAGAGGAACAACCACCCGTCTTCGATTCCCATCTCATTGAAGCTCTGAGACCGCAACGCCTCTCCTACTAATCTTCTTAGCTCATTGAAGTCGGCCTTCGTGAAGTCAAGGACTTTTACCTTACTGCTTGCTTTCTTCACCCTGTGCTGGATAGAGAATTCCAGCAGGCGATGATCACTGTCGCCCAGGTGAATGAGTACCCGTAGACCCCTCCGTCGCCTGTGGCAAGGACCAAGTCCAGCAAGGCATTTCCCCTGGTGGGACTGTGCACCTCCTTGGTTAGGTGGAGGTCCTGTATCCCGGCTAGGAACCTACGTGAGCCGTCGGACCTGGCTGACTGCTCCTCCCAGCAGATGTCTGGGTAGTTTAGGTCACCCGTGGCTACCACATCCCTTG